AGTGAAGGCTCGTTTCGTCCAAACTACTGGCTGCTCGCCCCATCACTGCCTGTGTAATACGCCGCAGCCTTATGTACTTTTTAAGCTATTTTGTTTTGGTTATACAGTGGAGCTGCATAATTCAGTCTTTCTGAAAAGTTATTTTAACTATTGAAGAATGAAGCCAATTCTCAATGAGCACTGGTTTCACCCTCACTGATCACTGGTTTCATCTTCATTGACCACCGGTTTCATCCTCACTGACCACTGGCTTCATTCTTAAACGGCCACAGGCCGTTTAGTGTGAAATATACTTATGGATATTTTTTGTAAGCTTGAAGAATTTTCGTTAGCTTTTCAAGGCGACGCAGACTTCTTGAATTCATTAGGGAGCGATGCAGGGCTTCATAACATCGAGTTATTCCTAATTGTGAAAATCACCACCAAACGTCATTGTGATCCGCAAGTTTGTAGGGCTCTGCACTTATTTGGGGCGTGAAACTTTCAAATTTGACAACAAATGACGAGAATGTCTCCACACTGATTGACAAACATTTGTCTTACTCCAAATTCTTTTGTGCACTAGTCAATTATCTCTTTTTCACCCTCAAAGGTAGCTTGTCTCTGAAATTAAGGAGCAAACCTTCAATCTTAAATATGAATGAACTCTCCCCCACCTTCACCTCGCACCCCTTTCAGCATCCTACTTGAATTTTAAAATTTCACAATCTCAGCTTCGTTTATGGTCTACAGTTGTTCTTACAGACAAAATTTCACTCGATTTTAACACTTTTTCCCTCGCCAGTTCATGTCGATACTGAAAGTACAAACAGCACATGTACTGTACCCAGTCCATTTGATTATCAATTAATAATAGTTAACTCTCCCCCGATCATATTATTACAAGATTAACCAAGCAGTTACTTTTATAGTAATAAAATTTTCACCATCCCAGCCCTTCCAGCTAGAAATTCGCCTCGCCAAGATTTTTCGCGGGCCGTGAGTAAGATCCAGAACCAAAATTAAATTTGCCAGATCGCACGTGGACGAGGTATATTCTCCTAAAATTCCAGCTTCTTAACTTTTGTGAAAACGCAGGACAAAACGCATTCGGTCACATACACATACACACATATACAGAGCACACATACACAGGAGCGTGACAATATACGTTCAGTGTAGCTGCTACATAGCAAAAAAACGCATAATAAAGTTCATTAATCGAAAAATAAGGTAGTTGTGAGTGAGAGAAAAATCCGGCCAAGTTGCTTTTAATATTATCGTGTGAATAAAGCAATCTCTGAACAGACTGGAATGGAAACGTTTCGAAGTGCATGAACGGCGAGAAGAAATTTGCAGCGACGGAAAGCAGCTTTTCAGAGTGCCAGTGTAAATAGGCTTCTCCTCCTTTTCAGTATTTTTTCAAATGGATGATTTGAAGTGAAGCAACGATAATAGCCATCCCGAAAGCCATTGCTTACGCAGTAAAAGGCGATGCATTTTTTGAGACGCTAAAATTAGCAGTCGAAATGTATTATTCTGCGG